GATACACTCTGTTAGGTCCTGAGAAGATAAAAGGAATAAAAAAATAAAGGTCTATCCCTTCCATTCAAATTGAGGGAAACTCATACGCAGACAAATAATTGACACAGAACAATAGCAGTCAAATAAAACCCAAAAATATATTCTGACATATATAGTTTTTCTTTTCCTTTCTCACTGGTGTGGAAATGGATATCATTTACATCCCTCACTGTAGTAGACTGTTGCAAATAGCTGTCAGCAGCTGGGCATTTACTGAATAACAGAATGAATAACCTTTAAATGGAGAAGAAAATGAAAAAGTGCCAAAAAGACTTCCAATGAAGTCATGGAAAGAGGAAGTCAACTTCCAGAGCCTTTGTAACAGTGATTTCAAAAGATTAGCTGGTATTTCTAAATCACACGTGAATTTCTCATTTGTGCAATTAGAAAAGATCTAATTACCATAGCATTTTATCTTTCACTTACCATCTTAATAGATACTACTAAATGTCTTAGTTATTTTACTCATTGCTAAGACAAAATACCTGACATCCAAAATTAAAGGAGGAGAGGTTTACTGAGTTCACAGTTTGTAGAAGTTTCAATTCATAATCACCTGGCTGCCAAACAGGGTGGCCTGGCAGAGGGCAACAGTTCATGGTGGGTAGAAGGTAGCAAAGCAACAAGGGACAACTACAGATCTTTCAGTTTCTTATATCTTATCCAGACTACTTAGGTGGGCAGCACTCACACCCTTACTCCTAGTACCCTTGATGCTAGCATTACACCATGAATCAATTCCAACATCACAAACTCTAGATCCAGCCACACCTGAAAAAGCCCCAGCTCTTACTACATGAGGCTTTAGAGGTACAATTAAACACAAGCCATAACATTAAACTCTGGGTCAACTATTATAGAACTTTTTTAAAAATGCACTTTAAGGTATTGTACTGGTGGTTCTAAACAGTTATCCACTTCTATTGCCTTGCTATCCCATGACAATCAGCAACATATCCAACATGAAACTGGGATGAAGGTTACTCGGTGTTCACTGGTGGTCCTTTTATTAGTTACTAAATTTCAGGTATTATCCCTCCAATACACAGCTCCTCAGAGAATACTGAATTAAACTTGACTTTCTCATTAGAAACCCATAATTTTCCTAACCTTTCATTCAGGCCATGGATTCCATGTGATGAATGTCAGCTTGTAATTTGTCTTATCACTCATATGCCTTTATTTTGTCTTATAGCACTGATATTAATAGCTCCCGATTTTGCAGGACAGTAAGTTTGAAGGGACAAAACATCAGCCAATTAGTAATTAAGGATATAGTGAAATAATAAATACAGTAAAATATATTGTGTTAATTTGTTTCTGTCTTATAAACTTTAAACCATTTTCAACTTCCCTCTTAGGCTTGGTCCCCTTCTATATGAATGGTGCTCCAGGGATGCTTCTAGCAACAGGTGAATGTGTGTAGTTAAGAGCAGGTTCCTGGGCCCCCAGATATGTCTCAGTAGATCCAGAAGCCCACCAAGAATTCTGGTGAGTTGATCCATTAGTGTCTTTGGCTAGCCCTGATCTCTGATACCCTGCCTACTTCTCCCAGAAACAAAATTTTCAGTCTAGAACTTTTCAGAATTGTTTCATGACTCTTTGCCATTAATCCATCTGTCTCATTGTATACCTGCCTCAGAACAAAACCCCAAATGTTCCCCAGGAGCAAATAATTACAAGCAATAATGCTGTTGGACTCACGGGCAGCCAATTAGCGGGCTGGCTGTGTGCCCACTCTACCCACCGAAGTGGAAGCGGCTCGCTCGACCCCAAGCACTTCTCCTTCTCTATGCTAAAGTTACTGCCATCATCTGAGATGAATACACACTTCTCAGATGAAGAAATACCAACAGCAAATAAAGATATGAAAAATGCTCAACATTACTTGTCCTCTGAGAGATGCTAATAAAAACAACTCTGAGATCCCACCTCATCTCAGAAAGAATGGCTGTTATCAAGAAATTGAACAATAACGATGCTGGTGAGGCTGTGAGGAAAAAGGAGCCCTTCTCCTCCACTGTTGGTGGGAGTGCAGACTGGTGCAACCACTCTGGAAATGAGTGTGGAGATTCCTCAAAAAACTAGGACTGGAGATCCAATTTGATCCAGCTAGTCCCCTTCTTTAATTCTAGAATTAAAATCATCATAGTACAGCAACATATGTACACCCATGTTTATAGCAGCATAATTCGTAATAGCCAGATCTTGGAAACAATCTAAATACCCATCAATTGAGGAATGGATAAAAAAGATGTGGTACTTTTATACCATGAAGTACTACTTGATCATAAAGAAGAACAAATGAGACTTTTATAAGTAAATGGATGCAACTTGAGACAGTTCTCATAAGTGAGATATACATACATATATATATATAATTTTTTCTTTTCTTATTTTCTTCAGAAGGAGCCTGTCTCAGGTATTTTGTGATAGTGATGAAAAGCTAATTAATACCACTATCAGCTGGTACATCATAAATAATAGCAGTATATTTCTTGCAATCTGGTGGCTGGAATGTCTGAGGTCCGGAGTCTGCCAAATGCTGCTCTCTGCTTCCAAGATAGTGTCTTGTCTCTGTGCCCTCCCACAGAGGTAAGCAGGACTAACAGAGCTAAGTGTCATGTGAGACCTCTTCCATAAGTCTTAATCACAAGGGAGAAGCCCTCATGACCTGGATGCCTTGTAAAGGTTGCACTTTCACTCTGGGAATTAAGCGTCCACAAGAATTTTGGAGAGTCCACCAATATTTAAAGCACAGCACTGCCCACTGTCACCTAGGACATAGGGCTGTAAAGGGAAATGTGGACTTTGGGTCTCAGGAGCCATGTGATTTCTACTGAAGAGGAAAGGGCCCCAGGAACCTTCCCCTGAGGTAGGGCCAGAGGCACATTGAAGGTCTGGCTCCATGCTCCTCCCATCCTTGGTATTTTAGGTTTCTTAGGGCTCTGCCCAGGTAGAGAGCACGACTGTTCTGGGCTGTAGCTTCCCAAAGTGTAACCTCAAAGGGAAAGAGTTCAGAGGAGAAACCACCCTTTCCCCACTTATAACCCTCTCAAGAACATTCAGCATCACTTATTGATGGTGCTTTTCCTCATTCAGTTCACAAAGCTCTGAGTGCAACTCCTGTGGTGCAGGTTTACAGAGGGAAGAGCAAATGCAGCAGAGAGATTGCAGCTGTCCCCAGCTTTCAGATCCAGTATGCAGCACGACAGGACCCCAGAAGTGTAAGTCAAAGTTTCTGCTCCCAACTGCGGGAGCCCACCTACCATCAGACCCCATCCCCAGCCCACCCCAAGTACAGTCAGATTTGGGCTCTTATTCAGGACAGACAGGACTGAGCCCAGGAGACAGAGCTCTCGTCTCTGCTCTCCTTCGGCTACATCAACAGGAACCAAAATTCAAAATCCCATTAAGTCATTTCTTTTATAGCTGAAATACAGAAGAATTTTCAAGAAATATCCTGCTATTCCTGATGTGCAATAAATATGTCATTTATGGGGGAAATTTATGGGGGAAATGTCAAATTCCATGACATCATACTAGCAAATAGGAATTTTTAAAACGCTCCTTATCGAAAGTGTAAATTAAATGTTAATGCAGCCTGAATTTATTACAAGTATTTTCATTTGGCATTTGCATCTTCACAAGTTGATAAAGTCCCTAATATTAAACCAAGGTCAAATCTTACATGCTAACTTGAAAGATCTTGAGATTAACGTGCTCAAATTCTTTGAAAAGAAGAAATGTAAGATATGTTTCTTGAAGACAGATATCACAGAACAGTTCATTGTCAATGAAGAGCAAAACCCTTGAGATGGGGCCTGTAGCCGCTGTTTCTTTGGCCTGCCTGGAGCACCAGTTCCATGTGAGTGGATACCTTGTTTTTCTCATGTTCAGTAGGCATTTTTTCTGGGAAAAGTGCCTGGCCCCAAAATGTGTAATAGTCATGGTACAAAAGAGAGGAAAAGAAAGTGCTCCAAACTATATAACTGCATGTATATTTAAGTGTATAAGATAGAAAATGATATCACAGAGTTTTATTGGATCAATGAACAGAACTGTTTGCAGTATCATTGATGGAATGTCCACTTTACAAGCTTTAATTTTGTGACTTGAACAATTATTTCTAAGATGACAATATGTAATCCATTAACTAGTGATTTCCTACTGTTCATTTTTTTTTCTGTAAATCTGTATAACTTGTACCCTTTCCCTGCTTTTTTTTTTCTTTTCTCCTTAAATAAAATTTTTAAAAAATCAAGAAAAGTGCTGGCACCCTGGCCATATAGTCACATGAGCACTAGCATCCTGAGAAGCCAGTGGTTTTTCACATCCAGTACTTTCTAACTTGAACTAGAGAAAGGGGCACAGCTGGGGGACATTGAGCCTGGAAGCTTCTGGTGGCTTCTTTCTGCCTGAGTGAGGACAGCCAGCTTTCAAGAAACAGCCCTGATGCTCTGGGTTGTTCCCTCAGCCCCAAACCTTGCCAGGCTTTGGCTGCATGTAGATCATGGCAAGGCACTATTTCAGCAGATATGTACTCTACTTCTATTCTTGAATCCATGCCAAAGCCACTGTCATGGTTTATGTCAGTGCTCCCCCCATCCTCCTGCCCCGCTGGTCTCATGCAAACATAGACACCACCAAATGTAGCATTTATGATTGGTGCATTGTCTAGAGCTCAGACTGACGGTATGAGTGCTACACCCAACCAGGGGTAGAGCCAGTATACAGTGAAATGGAAGGAAGAAGGTGTGTCTCTCACTTGCCGAGTTTGCTTTTGTTGTTTGCAGCAGCCATGAATAGTTGACCCGCCACACCACACCATGCTATGCTCCCTTGGAGCCAACTGAGTATAGAATGAAACTCCCAAGAACTTTAAGAAATAAACCTTTTTTTCCTGCATTTTGAGCATCAGGTATTTTGTTTCAACAATGAGAAAAAAATAAGTCACAGAATGAAAGAAATCTCTGCAGTCATTTATAAACAATGTGTCATGTTTTACAGCTCTCTAGCCCAGACATAATACGCAATTCACTTTGTTCAATCCTGATAACTCTATGGAAGTCAGAACTATTATTATCCCCATTTTACAGATGAAAAATGAAAGCAAACAAAATTTAGGCTCTAAGGTAACAGGTAACTTGCCTACTATACTACATCACAGCTTTTTTCCACTCCCCTAAAGGAAATTAGAACTTTGCTTGCTTTGGATTTGGCTGCTGGCCAACTGTCATGCAGGCACACAGACAACAAAACAAATCTAAACTAAAAGCCTTGAGTAAACATTTCTATTCCAAAAATGCAGCATACATATCTAGAGTTGGGAGGGTCCTTGGGGAGGCGACTGGAATTGGATTATAGAGGAACCCATGAAACGAAAGTCGACAAAAAAATGGAAATTCTTCAGGATGACTCTGAGCTTGCAAGAGTCTTCCGTGGCTGTCAGAGTAACTGTGAGAAAATGATCACCTTACCCATTTGTCAAATAGTGAACAAAAAATGGGCAGATGGGCAAGTGGGGATTCGAGAAACCACAGCATACCTTTACATTCCCTTCACTTATAATAGAATTAAATATTTCTTCTACCTATGTTTTTTTTTTAGTCTAAACAACTTTTATGAAGGAACAAAATTAGAGCTCCAATGCTTCCCAGTCCCACGACTTATCACAAAGTTATACCAATCATGACAAACTGGCATTGACATCAAGATAGACAAACCACCAAAGTACCAATATAAAGTCCCAATAGATACCCACATAACAGACATTTGAGTTCTGGTAAAGATGCAAAAGCAATTACATGGAGGAAGGATTGTATCCCAATAAATATACTGGGACAACTGGATATCCACATGCAAAAGACCCAAACCTTATAGCACATCAGAAATTTCTTAAAGCATCCAAAAGTAACTCAAAATGGCTCACAGTGGGTTAGTTAAAGTGAAGGCAGGTGCGGCCTGAGCCATTGCTTGGTTGAAGTGATCCTCTCTGGGATAAAAATACATGTTTTTTCCTTATCATACTAATGAAACAACGTGATGATTATGCATATTTATTTCACTAATATTATGTTTTTAAGGCATATGCATTTACCTATAAAAATGTTGTTTATCACTCTTTATGGCTGAATAGTATTCCGTTATATAGAAATACCACATCTTTTTCATCCATTCCTCAGTCGATGGGCATTTAAGTTGTAGTCAAATGGATCTGAAGAGAAGATGAAGCTGGAGGGAGGATAGCAAGTTCCAGTCCATCCTAGGCAATTTAGCGACTTAATGAGACCCTGTCTCAAAATAAAAAACATTAATAAAAAAGGACTGGGTATGCAGCTCAGCAGGAAGACCCTGGGTTTAATCCCCAGTACTGGAAAAACAAAACAAATAAGTGAAACACAAAAACAAAATTAGTAGCTTAGTGGTAGAACACTTGCTTAGTGTGTGTGAGACCCTGGATTTGATCCCTAGCACCAAAAAAATAAAGCCTCTTATTTAAAAAGATTGCCAGATACAATAAATTTTTTTAAAAAATCTGTTCATACATTAAAATATGCCTGACTTACAGATGGTTTTAACCTGATTTATTTATTTTCTTTTAGCCAGGTAAACAAATTGATTTTCTTTTACTCAGAGGACCACATTAATAAGTGTCTTTTGGACCAGAAGAAAAGTGGCAACCTAATTAATTAACTGTCACGTTGCAAACACCCAACCAGTTTTTTTCTTCTGAAATCATTCGAAACTCCCATTAAATGGACCTTACCAATACAGTACATGAGAAAAATTCCTTCGAAAAAAAATGTCGGGTTGGGGTGTATCTCAGGGGCACAGGATGCGCTGCTTGGTACTCACAACGTCCTGGATTCCATCCCCACTTCCAAAGTGTGTGTGTGGGGGGCCCTTTATCCAAAACTGGCAGGTTGGATTGTATTACTGTATGGTTTGCGGCCAGCACTTGCTCTTTTAAGAATCACACCTTCCTTCTGCCCATTGGCTGCAGGCTCAGTCAAATTACTTGCCTCGGCCAATAGGAGTCACGTGTGAGTCACGCGTGCCAGTTGTGTACGGAGCTGTCACGTCCAGGAACATCCCACGACTCCTGTTAGACCATTCGCAGTTTGAATACCGTCATGGCAGGAGTAGCGACACCGTTGAAACAGCAAACACTACAGGTTTAGACTTCCCTTCCCCGCCCCTCAGGCTGATTTACCAGCTCTGCAGTGAGTGCTCTCAAAAGGGCGATCTCAGCTGAGTGTGATGGTGCACTCTGGGCGGCAGAGGCAAGAGGATCACAAATTCGAGCTTAATCTGGGCAATTTAGCGAGCTGGAGGGAACTGGTCACAAATTTAAAAGGGTTGAGTATGGAAGGGAAATTGTTTTTCAGCCTGGAACACGAAATAGAGAAATCCGGCAGAGTAGCCCCTGAGCTACGGCAGAGGGTGTAATTTCCTCGAGGAACAGACCTCAGTCCGTTCACGGTCGGCCTTGTTGTGTGCTGTCCTCTCCTGGAGCCAGGAGAGCAGGATCGGCAGCCAGGTGCTGGGGGCGGACACCGGAGCCAGGTCTCGAAAGCGAATAACGGACACGCGGGGAACAGCAGCTCATCCTAATATCGCCGAATCCGGAACCTCTGGAACCCCGCAGACTCTAGGCGGGCGCTGCCCCGGGAACATCCGGTGCTCGAGATTTGGGCCCTGTGTCTTTAAGGGGGCGGGGAGACGTGGGGGAGGGCGGGCCGACGCGGGGCGCGACCAGCGTTTCCCGCCCGTTTCTGGGCCCTGGGAGGCCAAGTCCTCCAGCCTCCCTTCGGAGCCGCCCTCCTCGCGGTGCAGAACAAAGGGACCCGCCGGTGGACGCCTCCCTGCTCTGCGAGCCCTTCGAGCCCTTGGCGGGGGAAAGGAGGATGGAAGGAAGGAAGACTCTCCAGTTGAACTTGTGATCGGCGGTGACTCAAGACTCCGTGCTTCAGAACAGCAGCTATAGAAATAGTTTAGTAAGTGACCGTGCTCAGGATTATTCTTTGTTGTACTTTTTATTAAGGGATTATTAGTACACTTGTTTTTAGCCAGAAATAGCTCGAGGAAGCTGACAACAGAAAGCATAAAACAGTAATGTCAAGAGCCCAAATAAAGGTCCACTTTTAGAGCAGAATGCTTCACATTACTCATTTTAACAATGCATTAAAAGAGAAGAGAATGTGTCATTGCCTGTCAGCTATTCGTGAGTTTGGCTCATGATGTTTTAGGAATATCTTTGCTTTTCCAGCTAATTAGTTGTGGGTCCAGTACACTTTTAGTCCACACATAACCTTTTTCTAAATATTTTTACACATAACCCTTTATTTCTCACTGGAATGCACTATTTTACAGTTTGGAGGTATATGTGCCTGCTTTTTAATTTCCTCTAAACCTTCATCCTGATTATTCCAGACTAATTTTTCTTAATTGTCTAGACCTGTTTATAAACAGATGAATACATGGCAATAAAATAGAGCAATAGATTTGGACAGATAGTAGGCGAATGAATTTTTTTTAACATTTCATTGTTGAGGTTATTTATTTTAAGCATTATGTCTTGCTTTGGTTTAAGTTACTGGTGAATAAAGTAAAATGAAAACGTTTTTAGTATTTCCACATAATCTGTGAATTTCATATTAGTGTGAAACTAGTAAATGCTGATGTGAATAGTCTATACTACTGAAGGACAAATAAGAATGTAATTCATTTGTTATTTCCTTTTCAGAACAATCTGAGTTCTTTGGCCTTTAGCCTGCCCACTGTTTTTATGTGTGCAAGAATAAGTATAAAACCAAGGATATAGGTCAGCAGAGGTCATGAGTTTGATCCCTGTACCAAAAAAGAAACGAATAAGTGTAAAATAATCGAATTGATCTTTGTGGGTGGCTTATAGGAAGACTGCATCTATTAAATAAAGTAATATGGGTCTGAAAAGTAAATACTTCAGAGAAGAATGCTTCATAATCTATAAAAACTGAATTCATGAAAATTGTATTCTTCTCTGAAGAAGACCCTTGGAGAGATTATACTAAGGCATTCAGGTTCTAACCTGATAGCTTATTAGAGCAGAGAAGAATAGAATTTCTTTAGGAAAAGACCCAAATGCAGAGAGAATTAATGATCTTTCACAGGCTCAGACCCTCATCACTCCTTCCAGATAGTGGGTGCTCAAATACAGTTCACCCGTGAGCACCTGTGGTACTCCTTGATTTTCTCTCTCCCTTTCCATGAAATATCATGTTCTGTCTTTCCATGAAATATCTAAACTCTATGTTTGTTTTTTCTAGTTTTTTTTCCTGAAACTAAAAATTTTCCACCATTAAGTGAATTCTATGCTAGCAGTGCTTTTATGTTCCTTTGGGGTTATCTTTGAATAGGCATTTTGTCTTCAAATAGGCACATAGGTCTAGTTACACTTAGAAGAACAGGGACTTTATTGGAGTCAAACTCTGATTGTAATGGGTTTTGGCAATGGACAACAGTGCATTTTATTCCTAGTACAGGTGATGCTGAGCATTATAAAGATCGAAATCAGGGTCCCCAAGTCTTGGCCCTTGGGCTCCATTTCTCCAGTGTACACCTGACATAGTGGAATGTATCTTAATAAGTACATACTAGCCTGACTTTTACCAGGGGTATCCCACTTACTGTCGGAAACATCTCTCTCCCCCTCAGATGGTGGGCTTCCTGAAGGTACAGACTATGTCATGTTGCTTTTAGAACTCTTGGGAGCAAGTACATATGTGACCCTGAGCAGGTCCACAATGGCTGTTTGAATAAGAGAGTTGGATGGAGTAAAGGAATGTGGTAAGCAAAATAATTGTATCTGTTGGCACTTTGTGGTAATTTTTAAAATACCTTACGAAAAGTCAAGGGAGTTATTTTATTTTTGTCTAATGACAAATGAATGGCTGTGCGTTGTGACTGCATACTTGGTCAAGGAGAAATATGCCTTGGCAAGTGATCTAAGACACTCTTCTGGGCAGTCCAAGGCTCTAGCTTACCAAGACCTCAACTTTATGTCCTTTGACCTGAGTGGTGAGCAACCTGTTTTGTGTGAAAGTCAATGTAGGAAGTGAAACTAAATTTGGCGAGTGAGGGTCTAGGATCTGTTACTCTTTTTTCAAATTTGCTTTTTGTATGAAGAAATCCCCTAGGGGATTCTTCCAACTTAGACTACCTACTGTATTGAATAATAGAATTTTAGACATAGCTACTTTTCTGTTGCTGGGACAAAGTACCTAATAATCACAATTTAGCGATGAAGAAGTTTATTTTGGTTCACAGTTTTAAGTGGGTGTTTGGTATTCTGATAACATGAGAGAAAAAACAGAAAGAAAAAAGACCTTTACTGAAGGTACGAGAGGGCTGTCAAAGAGACAAACCAAAGGAAAAAACCACAGGCTTTATTTGGAATTCATAGGGGCTGAGTTAAAGGGGTGGGCAGAACGACATATTGATAGTTGATTGGAGGAGCTTTGGCACATGCGCAAAAAGTGAAGGTTTGACTTTTGGGTTTGCAAGAACTGCAGGGAGGTGCTGTCCAGTGCCAAAGGGAGGTGCACATGGGAAAAACCTATCATTCCTGTCTTTTGATTGTTAAGGGATGATGTGTCTCTCTGGCTGAACAGGGGTATCATGTTGGCAGTTGGGAAGGTTGACAGAATGGCAGATAGGTTTCACAGGAACCCACGTGGTGGAGATGTCACTGAAGATGAGTTCTTTGGCAGTGAATGCACAGATCCTGGATTGAATGAACCTCAAAAGACGATTAAAGACACAAGGAGCTATGAGCAAAAAAAGGATAATGGTGATGAGGGGCCTAAGATGGAAAGTAGAATAGGGGCCCATGAATCTCATATAGGTCACCAAAAGACCAGGGAGTGGAATTGGAGGCTATGTATCTCTTGCCAAGTTCCACCACAAGTTCTCTGAACCTCTTTACCTGTCTGTTTACAATAGCCGATTGATTTACAAAATAACACCCCCCCAACATCGTGTAGTATCCCACATTTTCAGCTGTGAGTATACTGAGGACACATTCCTACTGGAGGATGACCACAGCCAATGAATTGATTTGGTCCTGAAGTGAGTCAACAGGTTTAGAGACTGCATCAATGGAGGTTCTTAAATCATATGATAATTGAGTATAAAATTCTCTCCAAGTCCCCCTCCCCACATTCCTATAGCTGAAAAGATGCCTATTCCTGTCAAGATAGGAGCTAATGCAGCTCTGCATGTAATTGTATGAAATGTGAGTGAGAGAGGTTTGTTGTCCTTGTATGATTTGTGTTTTTGTATGGAGGGTTATTTGTGGGGCCATTAACTGTTGCTGTATAAGAGCCCTGCCAGACAGACAGAAGGTGGGTATATGCTCTGTGCCCACAAAGACTTATTCTTGGAGTGGGCATATTGGCGATGACTTATGAGACACATTTTGTATGTTAATGCAAGAAGATACAGTGCCTACATGTGAAGTGGCCTTGGAGTCATTGGCATGGTGCATACAGGTCAGATTTGCAGGCCAGCATTGTCCAGGAGTATGAGAGGTACACCAGTTTTGACTACTGGGTTTGTTTGAAAGGAGCATTGATCTGTCTGGAATGAGTAAGCCATATACAGATCTTGTTGAAAAGATAGACATAGCCAGTAGTTGGAAAGATGAGCATTGTCCTCTGACAGTTGTAGAGCTGTTCTTAGAAATTGGTAAGTGTTGTTGAGAGGGTGAGGTATGGTTAGAGGTATAAGAGCAAGTCTGGATGGTGAAGAGAGAGATAAAGTGTTTGTGATAGTGTATATGGTAGGGAGAAGCTTTTTGTAAAGAGTTATAAACAGACTTGTTTTGAGAGGAGGCGATATATAGTTGAAATCCCCAAGTTTGACTGTGGGGAAGAAGTGGAAATGTTTCTGGGTTTTTTATGTGAACATGTAAGATCTGGGTCCAGTATGTATGTGTGCTAGTTATATTTATGTAGATGTAATCATTGATTTGTCCAAAATTGAG